TCATAGAGTATTGAAAAGTCAGTCCGAACTTTGTATTCATCATCGTATTTTATATTGATGATTGAATGGTTGCACATTAATAGATCTTCCTGGATATACTCTGATGATTCGGGTCTGAACTTTTCTTGGCATGTATAAGGTTTACCGTCTTCCACCCCATAGTCATTTCTTGTGAAATATTGACTCCCAGGTGCGTCATAGACAGTGCACTGCTTACTCACAGTGTAATACTTTTGGTACAACCATGACTGTCTAATGGGTTTATTGCAACTTTTTTATGTATTTTCGCCTTTACCCATTTATTGCGCACTTTCCAAATATTCTTTACGTAGTTATCAGTGGAGTTACAAATCTTTATGCCATTATTCAGAACTCGATACTCAGTATAATCGTACACTTTGTTCTTGTAGAGTATTGAAAAGTCAGTCCCAACTTTGTATTCATCATTGTATTTTATATTGGTGATTGAATCGCTGCACATTAATAGATCTTCCTGGGTATACTCTGTTGATATGTATCTGAACTTTTCGTGGCATATAAAAGGTTTACCGTCTTCCACCCCATAGTCATTTCTTGTGAAATATTGATTCGTAGCTGCATAATAGACAGTGAACTGCTTTTTCACAGTGTAATACTGTTGGTACAACCAAGACTCTCTAATGGGTTTATTGCAACTTTTTTTATGCATCTTCGCCTGTACCCATTTATTGCGTACTTTCCAAATATTCCGTACTTTCCAAATATTCCGTACTTTCCAAATATTCCTTACGTAGTTATCAGTGGAGTTACAAATCTTTATGCTGTCATTGAGTACTCGATACTCCGTATAATCGTACACCTTGTTCTTATACAGTATTGAAAAGTCAGTCCGAACTTTGTATTCATCATCGTATTTTATATTGATGATTGAATCGTTGCACATTAATAGATCTTCCTTGCTATACTCTGTTGATGTGGATCTGAACTTTTCTTGGCATGTAAAAGGTTTACCGTCTTCCACCCCATACTCGTTTTTTGTGAAATATTGATTCGTAGCTGCGAGATAGACAGTGAACTGCTTATTCACAGTGTAATACCTTTGGTACAACCATGACTCTCTGATGGGTTTATTGCATTTTTTTTATGTATTTTCGCCTTTACCCGTTTATTGATTACCTTCCAAATCTTGCGTACGTTGTTATCAGTGGAGTTACAAATCTTTATGCTATCATTCACAACTCGATACTGAGTATAATCGTACACCGTGTTCTTATAGAGTATTGATAAATCAGTCCGAACTTTGTATTCGTCATCGTATTTTATATTGATGATTGATTCGTTGCACATTGATAGATCTTCCTGGGTATACTCAGATTTCGAATCAATTTCACGTCTGCTCCGGAGATGTTGAGTTATGAAGAGATGTTGGCTGTTTTTTTCAAGTCATTCTCGTGAAAAATTTGATTTTCCAATGAAGATATATTTTCACTGCCACCGTTTTGCCATTCTGTCTCATTTGAGCGGCAGATGGTTGTCGATTCTTTGGGTGGAACTTTTACCTCAGACGGTGATGATGTTGAAAAAGGCAGTACTGAGCTCTTTTGTTTTGTTTCACTTCGGAGTGTTTTCATCGCAGTTCCTAAAAATAAATTATGGTTATCAATTACTTCTTCTGAAGTGCTAACATTGTCACATTTCAATATTTACCTTTTCTAACCATCTTTGAAAGATCAGTGTTCTTCCGCGCCTTGCTGCCATCAATTTGTTTCGCGTTTTCTGTCAAGTTAGAGACACGTTTGTCTTGTTCGAGAGAAACGTTGACATTCAAGGGTTTACCTTTGAATTCATCTTTTAATTTTTCGGTTCTGTTTTATCTTCTCGCCTGTCATACTTTGAACCACCACCATGATAAAAACAGGCGAAAATCAGACAGAAGGAAAGGAAAACGACTCGATACAAGAGTCGAAAACTAAAGCCACGAACCATGTTGCAACTTGCAAGTGTTGTCAGGCAACTGAGTGCTGTCTTGGCCAAACACAAAATTTAAAAGGTTTATGATTAGGCAATTTGTGATAATGATAGCAGCTGAATCCAGCTGTACTCGTTGTCAGAGCAAGCGTCTTCCATCTCTGAAATTGTGGGTTCAATTTTCGAAACATTCATTTGAAAAGAATGAGTCAACGCTCTGCCGAATGTTGTTGGTTTTCTTCGAGTACTCCAGTTTCCTCCCACGAGAAATGTTGAGAGTGGATTACGACTAAGTACACAACTTCCCCTCGTTTCTCCCTACCCTTCCACCCCCGCGCCAGCTTTCCAGCGACTGCGTGCCTTGCTACCTTTGCCCTTGAAAATTTATTAACACATTGAAAATTTATTAACACCGAGACGATTGGGGAAGTGTGAGATATAAGCCCCTCCTCGAATATAAACCCCTCCGTGTACAAGCCAATGGACAACAGCTCAGACGATAATTACATTAAAGTAATATAATTATGTGTTAATTTGTGTTAATCATGTGTTGTTTTTAAGTCATGTCAAGTTTATATTCTTTTCGTCCACTGTATACTATAGTTTACAGGTACAATAAATATTATTACTAATATCAAATGTCGTCCGTATATGAGCCCCCCCCCCCGTATATAACACCCCTCGTGTATGAGTCCATAAAAATGCTTACGAACGAATATAAATTGCGTCGTATCACAGAAAAGAAAATGGACCAGAAGCCTCACTGTATATCTTTCCTAACATTTTCGTGTCCGCGATTTTCGCCTTGCGGATCACGAATTTCGCACGCTAGATGACGTGTGTGACACTTGCTGCGAACATCACGTCAGCGTTCGTCAGCAAAACGGTTAAAACAGCAATCTTTATTACCTGGTGATGGCGTTTGATGGCGTCGTGATTACACTTGCTGGCTCGCGCCTGCGCATAAAAAATCTCGGACATAATTTTGGCTAAGTGAGGCTTCTGGTCTATTTTCTATTCTGTGGTGGTATACAGTAACATGTTTTAGTTTTAAGGCGAGCATATAAGCAAAGCTCATGGGCGAAGAACAATCTCGTTGACTTATCGACTCGTTCCCAGAGTATGCCCGTTCGCAGGTTAGGTACTGGGCCCTAAGCTGCGAACGGGCATACTCTGAGAACGAGTTTGGCTGAAAAAAGGTTCTTGCACATTAAATTAGTGTCGATAGTTGTATTTTTTTAGGTCTAATAAATGTATAAAAATTCCGCTCGGAATTTCATTTCTTCTATTACAAAACCAGAAACTCTTGTTGTTGTAAAACAGCGAAAAGTTTTGCATAACGTTGTACTGACCGCCGTATTTCACTTTAACCAAATAATCATTACAGGACAGACTAAGCTTTGCCGAACAAATTGCAAAATATCCAAAACTCACTCCTCCTTCTATTAACCGTGATAATACCAACGTTATTCCCGATGAAGTTCTACACACACCTATTGCGTCACTGGGCGCTGATTCTAGTAATGTGTGCATGGAAGATCAGTTAAAAGCATATCGACTCAAACATCAAACGGTAAGCCGCATCAAGCAATGTCCAAATCCCACGCAACCCAAAAAGGTTAAGTTATTTAAAGAACAATCAAAGCCATACTGTGGTAGAGTTTAAGCGGAGCCAGGAGTTTTTTCGGGAGGGAAATGCGTATCGGCACACGAACGACTGGCTACATCACTTAAATCTTGTTCGCCGATTAACACAATGACAACGCTCCAACAACGGCACCAGGGACCGCACCACCCTTTCTCGTTACCTATTAGCTCCACGCTCTCGCCTAATACCCCTTTAACGTTACCTAGCCCTATCCCTGTACGAATTACTAACCGAGACACAGTCCCATCACAGCGTAATCCAATCGCTAATGGACTTGTAAATCCTGAGCAATTGCGACAAGTCAGACATACAGTACCAAACAAATACCAACAACATTGACATCAGCCAGCATTCATAATCCGGCAAACTGTGTCCAAATTACCCTCGCTACCGCGATGGAATCAACAATTGCAAGTGCTCCAGAAAATGTATTCGTTCCAAGTGTTCTCCTTTCCAATGTGATGTCCTTAGCGCCGAAAATTGATGATTGCGTTGTGCACGCAAATTTTGGTGCAGTTTGTTTAACTGAAACGTGGCTAAAAGATTGCATCCAAGACGAAGTAGTGTCCATCAGTGGATTCAATATAGTTCGGCTTGACAGAAAATCACAGATACACGGCGGAGTTTGTACGTACATCAATGAATCGATTCAATTCTCCCTCATGGACGATTTAGTTGACCCTGCTTTCGACGTCCTGTGGATTAAAATCCGCCCAGCCCGACTCCCAAGAGGTATTAACTGCATCATCGTAGTAACAGTGTACCATCCACCAAGTGCAAGTGATCCTGAAATGTTGAACTATCTTACAAATTGCCTCTCATCAATTGAAACCCAGAGCCCTAACAGTGGAATCCTTCTACTCGGAGACTTCAACAAATTGAAAGTCACAAAATTGAAATCTAGTTTCAAATTAAAACAAATCATCACTTTCCCAACAAGAGGTTCAAATACATTAGATCTTATTTTGACTAATTTACACGAGTTCTATAACAGCCCAGTTCAGCGTCCCCCTTTTGGTCTATCCGATCATATGACTATTGATCTTCAGCCAAAAATACGTTCTCAACAACCGAAGCAGCGATTAACAATTAAATCAAGGGACTTGCGTCCAAGTAATCGTTTGGCTATGCGCACATACTTTCAAGAAATAGATGTTGCTGCCCTAGTTAAAACCAAAGATACGTGCGCTGAAAAATTAGAGATTTTTCAATCAATCCTAAAGAACGGTTTAGACCAAGTAGTTCCCCTACGAACTAGAACTATCCACCTAAATGAGCCCCCCATGCATGGATTAATTCAACCTTAAAAAAATGAATCAAGCAACGCCAGCGAGCCCTTAGTCAAGGGAACTTAATTGAATTTCGACGCCTAAGAAATTGTGTGAATCGAGAAAGAAAAGTCTGCCGATCAAAGTACTATGAAGCAAAAGTTGAATATTTAAAAGACTGTAAACCAGCAAAGTGGTGGAAAGAAATTAAAAAGTTAAGCAGCATGTCTTCTGCATCTGGGAGACAAAATGATGTAATGAACTCTCTCCGATTCATAGAAGAGGTTCTCAAGCACATCTGACCTACAATCTTATGCAAAATAAACGAGACACTCCATGCTCCCGCACCCTTTTCAATGTTGGTTAGTGATTGTTAGCACCGTTTCAGGCCTTTCTTTTCAATTTCGACTTCAAATCGCAACATTGGATAGGGGAAAGGGGGATAAGCCTTTCAAAATCATGATGGCACGTTTTATTTTGCAAGAGATTGTAGCTAATATAGTTAATGATGCTTTTATTCTTCTGATGAAGATTTTCTCACCTCTTAAGACCACACGATTTTCAACTCGAACAAGATATCCCTTCATCCTTTGTTTTATCCGTTCACTCTGTTTTTATGAAGTTGCCGTTGTTGAATACAACAAAAGCTCAAGGTCCAGATGGCCTCCCGGCTTGGCTACTGAAGGAGAATGCAGACCTCGCAGAACCCATAGCAGAAATAATAAACAGCTCCTTCCGCGAAAGTAGGTTACCACCATCATGGAAAGAAGCGGATATAGTTCCAGTACCGAAACAAAGAATAGTAAAAGACGTCAGCAAACACTTAAGACCAATTTCCCTCACGCCAATACTTTCTAAAGTTGCTGAGGAGTTCATCATACAAGAATATGTCAAACTGGCGGTTTTAAAGAAGAATAAAAGTACCGTAACCAATTTGGCTCAATTCCAAATTCATCGACAACCAGGGCCGCCGAGAGGTTGGCGGGGGCCCGGGGCAAATTTTTTTTTAGGGGCCCCTATCTAAAAAATTTTTCCCGGAAAAATTTTTTTCCGGACAACAAGCCTCCCCCCCCATCCCCCCCCGTCGCCAAAAAATTTTCGGTCAGTGTACCATTTTAGGCGTAAAAAAAGTTTTCCGGAGTACAAAATTTTTCCGGACGAGTACGTTACAACTGCTTTCGAGGGACTTTATCTCATTTTTTATGCCAAAATTCGGTACTTAGCCCAAGAGAACAGATATCTTGGCCTTTGCGCGGAAATATTTAACACACAAAAAAGGCTGGGGCCCAACAAAAAATTTTTCAGGGGGCGCCAGCAACTCGGGGCCCGGGGCAATTTGCCCCCCTCCCCCCTGCCCCCCCTCTCTGCGGCCCTGTCGACAACCCAAGCTTTGATCAGCATGATACACACATGGAGCAAGTATACGGACGGAACTGGCTTTACAGTCAGAGTGGTTGTTTTCG